TCCACGATCATTGAAATCTCGGAACTCCCAATTGTCAAGTGAAGTCAAATTTCTTTTTTTTTTCTAAGCATACTTGAAGCATTTACTTTTTTAGGAACAGCCTCTAATATTGCAGAATAAACCATGTAATAATTTGTTCGTCCCAAAGATGCTTATTGCATGATTTAATAATAATAATAATAATAATAATAATAATAAATTGTAACAAATATTGCAGATGCTACCACTTTCCGTTTGTTTATTTCTTCTGTCGCTACCACAATTGTGCGCTGATTTGTCAGATGCAACACTCGAAACCTTGCTACAACATTGGCACTCCGCAACTGAACCCAGTTTTGGCCAGGGGTTGCAGCAAAGTAAAGCCGCGACCCTACCCCACATTACTGCAAAATATGCCCGTTATGGCCGCGTTCCCGGTGCGTCACAATACGGTCAAAGTGGAGCGGTGATGAACAGTTTACTCGGCCGATTGTTCACCGTTCAGGTGACTGGCTTATTCGTTTCTGTACGAACTGTCGGGGTGCGAATTCGTTTACCCGCAGACGATTTAGTGTTACGACACTTGTGGTCCAGTGAAGATCAGGCTGTCCTGTCAGTGGATCGATCGGCATATAACGGTATGTTGTGGATATGTATTTCCTTCTCCTTTTGGTCCATTGTTACGTGTGCTGGATCGGATGTAGCCATAAGACCTGCAGCTGCACCTCGAAATGAAAATCGACTGCAAGCGCTATCCGTTTGAATGCATCCTTGTGAAAGGACCGTACAGTATTTTGAATGAAATAAATGCACAGTCAGTTTGCATTCGTGCAGTTTTCACTGTGATGAAAAAACTGCACAATCCATGTTCGCATTCATCTAACCAGTGGAAAGCGCTGCTATGTGTGCTGACATTACAAAACTTACTCGATTATATTTTTACGTACAATTCACTTCAGGCAGTATAAAATCCGTTCGGGATGCCCATATTGGGTTCGTAATTAGGTCACCAATGTAACGCTATATTTTATGATACTGTTTTCGCTTTCTTGGAAGGTCTTGATCAGGTCATTTGAGTCGGATATTGCTCGAATCCCGTTGTCACACATTTTAAGGGAAACGCAGGAAGCATACACTCTTTTGCAGTGATTGCAAACATACCACACTTTACATCACAATGTTTGGTGAGATAAAGATTCAGTACAAACTGAGGAAAAACTGGGTATCTCAAAGTTAAAAACGTAATGCGACATTTCCATGTGTGTGTTTGCGACTGTCGGATATTAGGTCATGTCATCTCCAGCTCTTAGGCTTTGTGGAATAATCTATCCGGGAACCATGGGCTCGTTTGTTTATTCAATTATCTAACGGTACGTTCCGATGGTCTGGCTATCTCCACTGCGTAGACCAATTCCTGTTGTGAGAACGGTAAAAATGCAGTTCCATCCCATTGATCGACCGTATTTCGCGCTATGCTTCTAAACAGCCTGTGGCAAAGCGTTCTTTCAAAATAGGTGATTTGTTGAAGTGAACGTTGTCTTGCACAAACAACCCGCAATGCAATTTCTGATTTATTTTCAATCTGTCTACACTTTTGAGTTTTGGACTTCGTCTTTGATAGATTTTTATCCTTACCTGTCCCTTCCATCCTGGTTCGTTGTTCGAATATTCAGAACATCTTATTTCCTACTAGTTCAGTTTTGAGTGAAGCAGAAGCTAGAGTTTGGCACAAGGGTTAAGTGTGAGGTCTTTGGTGCAGGTGTCTGGAATTTGCGTTTTAGTCGGTAAGAAATGGTGGAGGAGTAATCGATCCAAGTAAGTGGGCCTCCACTTCGCTTCACCCGCAGCCTTGCGGTTGGGTTCTTGTTAAAACTAAAGGCTTTGGACGAGAACCCTAATCGTTCTCCTGCTTAATGGCTGGACACCCTGGCAGTACCCGTCCATCAAACCCCAATGCNACAAAAAATAATTCCATACTACATCGGTCGTCGGGCAGGATAATCAGGACCGCGCTGCCCGTTGCATCAAGCGGAGTGGAAAGTGATAAGTGAGCTACTGCCCAGATATCCCAACCTTTGTTTAATTCTTTGTCTTCAGTACTCAGCCCTCCATTTGCCCCTCCTTCCAACCTCTACTTGTCCTTCAAGCAACTTGGATATCGCTCGTCAAAGGTCGTTGCCAAATAGCACTGTAAGTAATGTATCTCGAAACGAATTGCAGTTTCTAAAGCCTCATCAATCACAATCTGGGGGCGTTCAACGTGAGGACTCTGATGCAGGTAGGTTAACAAGTTTATCTGAAAGCCTTAGGAATCGACATTTGCTGCGTGTCGTAAACTCGAATCCAGGATCCTACTACTGTAAGCCACCTGAGTGCGCCAGATACGTTCTTCGCACATCAGTCAACGATGAAGCTCGTTTAGTAGGTCAACGCGGGGTAGGTATTGTACTCAGTAACAGAGCTGAGTTCTCTCTTATCGACTGGATTCCCATCAACATTCGTTTATGTGCAGTTCATCTTCAAGGTTCAGCGTCCGGAAGGGAAGCAACGTATCGGCATACGCACCGACCAGTTGCAGCTCTGATACTCAAAAGGACGCTCTCTACGATGAACTCATCAATCTCATGCGGCGGCGTCGAAGCTCCGACTTAGTTGTACTTGCAGGTTGGAAAACTGAGCACATTAGAAGCTTGTCGAGGCGGAAGTTGTACTCTTCCTTGCCAACGAACAGATAATGGCGATCGACTTCTTCAGTTCTGTGCACATCATCATTTCCTATCTAGCACCAACTTCCGACACAGCTCCCGACGGACGGAAACGTGGCGCTCCAGTTCAACTGGTATGCTAACTCAAATCGATCACATAGCAGTAAGCCACCGTTGGTGTGGCTCAGTGCAAAATTGCAGGTCTTATTGGACTACCTGCGTTGAGTCTGACCACGCATTAGTTTTGATGCAGTTCACTCTCCGACTGATTGCCTGGTGATGAATTCAGCAAACGCGTCTAGCTCATCATCGACTATCTGTTCCAGCAGTTCGTGTGCGCTATGAATCAGAGTTAATGCGTGGACTGAGCGCACCGCAACCTGATGATGCAGGTGAGCAGTGAGATCAAATTAGGCGAGCAATGCATTCCGCAGCGAATGTTGCTTGTGGGTCCGAGCCTCAAGTCCGTAGGAGGCATTGGACATCTCATGAGTCAGTAGTTTTGATGAAGAAAAACGACAAATCCTGACCTGGCGCAGTGAAAGTGTGTGCTATATAACCTCGACCAGGTCTAAACCCAGCTCGGTTCTCACGTGTGCACTGTTTACGTGCAGTCGACGTAGTTTTAAACCAGCGAGAAGTTATGGTACAATGGTGAATAAACTGATTCCTCAATACTTTTCACTCGAGCATGTGCCACCTTTTATGTAAGTCTGGTAAGATGGCCGATTCACAGCATCTGATTGAAACCTGTTCATTGTGTCATAATAAACCTACGAATTTCGGTAACTCCGAAGCCAGAGTTGATCCTCCATTCTTGAAATCCCATGGTGACAGCCCACCCGGGCCGGATACCTATTCCCTGTTGAAATAACTTATTACCCTGGTGACCTCGATTTCAAATGGATAACTGATATAAGCTGGCAGTGTTACTCAGTTAAGGTCGTGACTGACAGGTTTTACGTCGATAGGGGGAAGTTGAATTGAGCCTCAAAATGTTCTGCCCATCATTCAAGACGGCGTTGGTTAATATGAATCGGCGTACCATTGGACTCCTTAAACACTTTACTTATGTCTACTCTCCTTAGGCCCTTACTCTTAATTAGGCGGAACCGGTTAGCAGCGACCTTCTCCATCTCTGCATTTTCCATCCAGCATTTATCGTGATCATTGTGAGAGAATCCATGGCGAAACTGGGAATGCGGTACTTAGTGACGTCCCCAGTGTCGCTGGGGTTTTCTTCGAAGATGCACTTCTACCCCTTGCAACTAAGTGCGACACAGTCGAATAGGGTAGAGTAGTATTGGGAGCTGGTGGCCGTCAAAACGAATAATAACCCTCTTGGATGTCACAGCGCCAATCCAAGATTCTCGACGTCTCCGAGATAGATGTCTGAAGGTTGGTGGCTGGTGCCTATCTCATACTGTTTTCTCAAACGTTATCCTACCCCTTTGAGTAGGCAAGTGATAGTGGTTTTATTAGTTAGCGGACCACATTTGCATACGGTGCTTTCAAAAAAGACTTACGGATTTTAAAACGGAATATCCATTGCCAGCGTTAAACCCCGCCACGTCCACTAGCATCGCCGCAGATCGTCCGCGATCCATTATTCAGTGGGGTGGCTGTTCTTCTATCTGCAACTTGGAAACGCGCTCGGTAACATTCAGCTGTGCTATCCTTAACCAGGAGATTCGCTACGAACCGAGAACGTTAAGCTTATTCACTCATTCATCAAATGATTCAGTTTCACAAGTGCAAATGAACCATCCGTGTTTAGAATGTGACCTTTACACCAAACCGGGTGCGTATACGGCTTATGTTTTCAAATATGCCACTGAATAGCTTTGTCCTTTTTATTGCTCTTTCCTTTTTTGTGTTTCTGACGGGACAGGTTGTGAACCTTCGGGTTTCGATCGATCTGGTATCAAAGCTGCTTTTGTTGAACTAATCTACAATCAAACTGGTGGGATCAGAGGTTGGGACCATAAGAACTAGCATGCCCCTGTGTCAACAACTTGAGGCGCTGAATGACAACCCAGTATTACTCATTTTTCCCACCTAACTTTCCTGTTTCTTCTATGCTACTTATAATTCAGCAAGATATTTTCATGGTTATACCAAGAAATATCAACCAATGGTTTGCCTTCACTGTTCTTACTTGAAACAGTGATCCTCATTGCCCGTCTTCATTTTCGGGTTAGGAGCTATAGATCCTAGCCCACAATATCAAGAAACTTCTGCTCGTATTACAATTTGCTGTGCAGTTTCACGGTTGTACATCGAATTCAGTTGCACAAAATATTCATCCCGCTCAGTCTTAAATGAATTGAAATTCGCTCCCACGTCACACTTGTTTAACGTTCCTTTTTTCAAACTCTGTTCACTTCTTGTCTTTGGTGAAAACTTCAAATTTCCAAGCAAATTATCATGTGGTAAATCTCATGAGTCCACAAGTTTTCTCTAGCCTATTTGAGTCAGGTTGTTATCACAATATTGTTCTTAATGTGAAATAGTTTATTCACCCGGGTAAAAAATGACATTGTACTTGATTCGTTCACTCAGATCGATCACTGATCGCTTATATGTCCACCTTCATCCATATTTTTTTCTCTAAACTTCACCAACTGCCCTTTGTTTACTCCATCAACGCAAGGTATGGTTTTGTTGCCCTTCACCGATAACACTAGTGCATATCCACTTAATTCCTCCCCCCCCCCTCCACACACACACGCATGTGTACCAATTCGCCTCACACCTAAACGGCACAATCTTTGGGTATAGTCAACGCGGGATGTACGAAAGATAGGGTCAGTCAATAATTGTCAGACAAGATCAACCATGTGGTTGTCTCCACTCCTGTGGGAAGTGCAATCTTGAAGATGTGCGTTGTGACCGTTTTTGGTTTCCGTTCATCAAGTCGTTTCTTGGTTTCTTTATTCTTCCTAAAGGACACATTTTCAGCTTTTTCCGCAGTGACATATTCCGTTCAGCGAGAAAGTGTATCATAAGTAAATCAACGTAGTTCTGCCCGGGAAAGATAACTTACCAGTCAGCTGAGTACTCTTGTAAACTCGGCTTGATCCATGTGGTTGCAATGGATCAAAATTTATTTAATCCATAACTAAATGGGTAAGTACCGACGACAAAACGTTAGAACAGAAATTTTCTTAGGAATTGAAGTGTTTTCACGGCAAACGTAACTTAATTGAGGTGTGGAATTCCACTGACGCGTGAGATTATCTTAATGGGTCTGCAACCAATTGAAAGTCCCTTAGAAGCACGTTAAAAGGGGCATATCATAGAGAATGGGGCACATCGCAAACATCTACATAGCATATTTAAGACAGATTGAGTGGCATGCAGACGTTTTATTCGTGGCAAATAAAAACGGTTGACCAATGTTTCTGAAGTTTTCTCAATACGAGAAAACCACGTAAGATCCTGGGATAAAATAACGGAAAACTGGTTTATATTGCCAAGTGTAGAAGCGCACTTGTCACCAATACCTAGCTGAAAGCGCTTGTATTTCATTCCTGTTTATCTCTTGCCCTTTGCAAGTTAGAATAAGATGTCAGTATGTTTAGAAACATAGGTGGATTACGAGGAGGAAGACGATCAATCCAAAATGAATGTCATCGAACACCGACGGTAATTAAACCGAGAATTTTCGTTGGGCTTAGGACCGAATGTGACGTCATTGGTTTGTTCAACCATCAAGTCATTTGTAGTGATAAGTAGATCCTGAATGTAAAAAAGAAAGGGGGTAAAATTATGCCCTATAGCACCCCACATACAGGATAGGGATCACATAGGAGCGGTTGTAGAGTGGACTGGCATCTCCCATTAAAGCAGCCTTTAGCCCATACTGGTAATGGTGCAAGTAGTCCTGCAGCTTGTAGCGGAGAGTAACTAGTACCTATTGAGGCACTGAAGGTGCTATTATCATTGAGGAAACATATACGAGATGCCTTGGCAGAAAAAACAAAAATAAGCAAGATAATTCTACATTCGGCGAGACTGAAATTATTCGTTATCCCATAAAGTGCTATTTTCGTGCTGGGCGTAATAAATCTTTCAAATGTTCTCAGTAAAATAAATGAAGAGAAACTGAGTTTATATTCATCATATCATTTTCCAGGGGTAATACGCGCATCTGTGCATCCATCCACTATTCTATTTTCATGGATGCATTTCTCGGGCTGCCCCTCTTTATGGACCAGTGATTGAAATAGTCCTGGTGCTTTGTGGCTAACTGTAAACTCGTCATGATTTATGAGATGGTTAAGTTCAATTATGGGGTCGGGACAGGTTTATTTGGTATCGATGTACTAGTGAAAGTGTGATTCAATTCTTTTGCTTTGACGCAGGGTCTGCGAGGTCTTTGTTTATTGGCTCAGAGCTTCTTCATCTGGTTTCACTGCTGGTGACAGTTTGGATTCCGGAGCAGGATATTAGTGTGCAAGCAGCTTAGTTTGTTCATGTATGAAAATTCTATTCGGTAGCACCCCGTTGCCTGTTTCACGTGTCTGTTCATTCTACCCCTAAGGAATTTTAATTAAGGAGAGAAGAGTACCACCACCACATCTACCCTTCAAGTACTGAACAATCAAAATTACCACTTCGACCATGTGTCCAGAACGGAAAAAGGGTATCTCTAGGAAACGTAACGAAGGCTGTCATATATACCACTAATCTTATGATAGTTTTTCAAGGAATTCTAAGTTTAAAAATTTAGATGCCATTCTAAAATGCACTTTTGTGAGTATGGACTCCTAATTTGATAATCAGTTTCGTTAAAAGCATATAGTCCATCTAAAACTCTTCCACCACTGAAAGTAAGTCGGTTGAATTAAGCCTAAGGTACGACACATTTTTAAAGTAGCTATTACTGGCTTTGCATACAATTTCTTGAAATGATGCTCAGACAACTTGAAATGATATTTGGACAGCTTCATTTACAAAAGGTTTAGATCATGTTTATCTTTGGTTATTACGTATTGACTGATCATTGGTGTGCTAGGACCCATATTCTTGGCTTTAGCTTATCTTAACAGGGAGCAGAAATGTGTGAGCATGTCATTTACAAAAAGTTGTTCTCGATTTCAACTTGCTTTGGTCATTATTCTCCGAGGACGGCACAGTTGTGCTGACAACGAAATGCGCAGGGGAGTTGTTCTGGTTTGAAATGAGAGTAAAGATTGGCTGCGAGAAACTATGATGAGTATCATTGAACAGTCTACAACCGGATTCATACCGACAAGCTGAACTGTGAATGTCAACCGAGACGCGAGAGAAGACAAAAGACTTTGGATGATACGGAAATTGGTCAAGTGACCATCTGTTTGGAAGAACACCAAAAAAGTACATCACACCTGTTGAGGCTCCGAGTTAATTCGGGGTTTGACGGGTCATATATGACAGTTGGTAACTGCGAAGTGATTAAAATGAGAAGCTCCATATCATTTCATCTGGAGTGATTATTCCGGAGAGGAAGATGACCCATCCCTTGTACTCGTTGGCTTGATCACATTTTTATCGTTAAAATGACTTCACCATGTCCTAAAGCTGACGCTGACATCAACTCGAGGCGTTTTAACGTGAGTTTAAAAGTTGAATGTCTCAATGGAATGCCGTAATAAATATTACACAGAGACCGGAAAAATGACGAAACCAGCCGCAATTTACAAAATGATAATCTCTTGATAATTTTGGTGGTCTTGCTCAAATTCTTTTGGCATATCCATCCTTTTCATTTATACAACAAGAATCGTTTGTTTATGATTTCCAGGTGATTTCAACGGATTTATTGGTCAATCCGGATATCCTCATCAAGAGTATCGACCCCCAGGATGTCGGGCTCATGTAACTTTGGCCCTGGCGCCAGATGTTTCTCCGGTCGAAACAGGATTGGACCTCCTTCGTATTGTAGATGCTGAATTGGCTTACCAAACCGGTGATCACATGGCTATCGTACCCGGTGGCTCAGTTCGTCGTGTCACTGTGCGACGTCCAGCAACTAGTCCAACCTCGCCTGTTGCACCACCCCAATTGGGAACCACGGCTCCAGGTTATGAGTACATGTACGTACTCGACTTGGATCAACCACAGCATCACCGGGTTTTGTTTGCAGGCGTCTACTGATTGCCCATTTTACTTGGTCGAGCCCACTGCGGTCATCACTTCTTATTTCTTCCTCCTGAGTCCATGTCATCAGCACATTGCTGTCATTTTTCGTGGAACCACCCTCATTGTCTGGCTCCGTTTGTTACGAGTATACCTTATCCTTTTTTACGCGTTTCCTGTCCTCGCCTTGTAACCCTGTAATCAGCTCGTAACAATTTCATTCTGTACATACTCTCATCCCTCACTTTCTTCTTCTGTCCCTTGCATTCAGCGCCATTATTCATGTATTTTGGTGAGTCTTGAGCTAATCCAACAAAATATTGCGCCCATCGCTGTTTTTGGTCACCTTTGATTCTGATCCGGTGGTTTATTCACATCCCTGTCTCTATGGTAGTCAGTTTTTCCGTTTAAAACACCCTTTGATCTTCCTCTCCTTTTCCGGTGTGCTCTCTGGTTCACATAGGCTTTACTTCGCACCGTGCTTTCCTAGTTTCAATACAGCGAGTGACTCATATTGAATAAGTGCTACCTCTTTTGATTATGATGTTTAACTCGCCTGGGACTTCGTAAGACCCGAGAAATCTTTCTGTCTAAAATCTCACCTTTATTGTTAGTTCACGAGTACGGACTACCAGACGCACAGAACACTATTGTAACTCTAGCTTGGTTAAACATTTTAGTCTTGATTCTTATCGCACCAACGTTTGCTAAATTTTTGGATGCGACCCTCAAAAGCACCAGTTCCTCCATGGGCAGGTTAAACCCCGCTCAGAATCCAAAATATGCTCCCAAGGAGTGTCTTTGAAACCACGTGATGGGAATTTACAATCATTGCCCTATCTGGGTGAAAGGGTTTTCACTATAGGGAGAGAGCGCAAAGGCCACATCTGGAGCATACGGAGTCGATTTAGGACATCCTAGTCTCAATGGTGCCGTATTGTACTCCCTAGCCGTGTGAATCACGCCCAAAAAGTTTATGGTACAACGGATTTGACTTAGTTATTTACCTCTCAGAAACCGATACCCAAATGGACTGAGGATTTCCCGCATCACCCAGTAGCAAACGACCCTGATTATTTACCCCCGAAAAAACTAACCTGCTTTCACTTGGAATACCAGAAATGTCTCAGCTGCGAGCAAATCACTCGACCGGGAAGGCCTTCCTTAAGGTGTATTTCTTGTATTAGGAGATGCTTGTGTGAATTAATAGATCTACTGAAAACTGCGTTTCATTGCAAGTAATCTTGATTCGGGACGGATTTGAATAGTACTAGTCACTCTTCCTTCGACCACTTTCCACATAAATGTGTTAACTACTCACAAGTAGCGTGAACTATGCTAATCATAAGGCACCTCCACAAAAGTACTTATTGCCTATGTGCCGTGAAATTTGTCACCAAAAGATATAGACCATGGTTAAATAGGGTAGAGTTGTTTGCTATGTCCCTAAAAGCATTCCATATAATTCGGGAGCGGTTGATATGGAAAACTGAACCACGCACGATATTAAATCTCAACCAATTCCTATATTTCCATGAGGAGCCCGTACAAGTTCCTCGACCAGTACTTTATCCTACTCCAGAAAGCCCCAACATTTGAAGTACGTCGAATACGGCCAGTCGTAACGAGCTTCTAAACGGTCTCTTTACTCACAGATCATCATCGTGGTTGTGGTAAACACGTAGTGAATTACTGTAAACTTACCGGCATGGGCCAACAAAAATTTGGGTTAAACCATTTTGTTATTACACAATGTGAATTACAGTAAAAGGGTAAAATCCCCATGGACAAATGGCATACTGTAAAGGGGAGAGTAAAGGATCGTTCACGTAAAATCCAGTTTATTGATTCTGCGTTTAAAAAGTGATTGTAAGTTGGGGAAAAACAACAAGGGGGAGGGTGTTCCACAGTTTGGTACGTCGGGGGAAAAAGAAGATTGGAGTAGAGGTACGATACCTGGGAACAGAAACCTGATAAGGATGACTAGATGCCCGTGTACGAGATGGGCGGGTAAGAGTTGCAGGAAGAGGAACTGCCGAGGCAAGTTCCGAAGAACAAAAATCAAATTAGTAGCGGTAGAACAGGGACCATGAAACAACTGACCGACGATGGGCTAGTGACAGTAGACTGAATGTTTGGGAAGGATCATCGATTAGCCGGATGAACTTCCGTTGAACACAATGAAAAAGGAGAAGAGGAGACGAAATCCCACTCTACATGTGACTATAGTATTCAGGAGCGGGGTAGATTTGAGCTTTGTACGGTAGAAAAAGATGAGCTGGGGTGAAAAGACATCTGGCATGAAATAGAAATCCAACCTTGCGCGCAGCACGGGAAGCAAGCATGGTTATAAAAGGGGACCAGAATAAAGAAGGAGTTATAGACGGTCCAAGAAAGGAAACAGAGTCTGTGGAACGCCATTGGGTGGAATCAAAAGATAAGTGAGGGGAGAATGAATGGTATTAAATAAATTGAAAGAAGAGAGCAGACGAAAGACATCGGTTGATCTCGCCTGCGAAGTACCAAAGAAGAGCGTCTTCCTCAGCCTCGCCTTCAAAGGTGATCATTTAATGAATGACTTGCGTCAAAAGCTCAAGGCGGCACTTTGTTGAACGTTTCCTGCCGCATAACTTTGAGTGATACCGTATACCCCAAGGACTGCGTTTAGACAATCGAAAACAGAACCAGCCGAATAATTATTACGTAACTTGAACCCCAGGATTCTGGCGTTTAGCGAGGCGAGGCTAATCAAGTTACGTAACCCGATATCATGTGCACAAAAGTTTCTTACTCAATCAGTCATGGACTTGATTTCGTACCCCACCCTCTCCCCCGCTTCCCTGACTATTGTCCACCATTTACCACTGTAGTTATCAAAACTTGCTTGTATAAATACCGGACTATTTTACGTTGTAGCGACTGAAGAGATTAAAAGAAATGTTGACATCTCGCAGTATTTGTCTTCTATCGGTTCTAACGAATTGAAAGAAGAGAGGTTTTAGAACTATTGAATGAAATGTTGTTTGCAATTCCCCAGGAGGAGGTGTGCTCGAGATCGGAGTCCAGTGACAGATTTACTGCACTGCGGTCACCGTCGATGTTGGGTTGGGCATGGCGAGCAGTGCGGTAGGAGAGGAAGCAGTGGAGGGTGGCGTCATCAGCAAAAGAATTGATCGTGTAGTAGTTTGGGCAAGAAAAGCATGAAGACACTAAGGATCAATTAGCCTGTCAACGTGGAAACGGATTGAAACCGAAAAATCTCACGCGGAAGGATATAGCATATGATAGCCGTGTAAAACAAGTGTCAATGCGTTCGTACCGAGATAAAACTGAACATACAGTTAGATTCCACTGTAAAATTGATGTCCGGAAAATGTCTGATATTGTCCGTATTTCAACCGAACATCGATTACGCTGCATGTTAATGTTAACACCGGTCGCATGATGTACAAAACCATCTGAGTGAAATCGGCGCATATCAGTGCCAATTGGTCTGTGCGATGGTAATCGGTGGTGCGACCCACTGCTGTAGGGTCGGAGGGACGCTACATACGAATCCCTTTTCCATTCATCCGAGCTATCCTTTCTTCTTCTTCGTTATTAAACCCGAATATCTAGACAGTTAGCGGTTGCCTCCGTTTACAGTATTTGATCTACGCGGCAGTGTTCTCGTCTATATGCATAACATCACCAGGATCACCAAAACGGGTTGCCATCGGATACAGTACCGGTGACGAAACGTCCCGCAGTAAGTTCACCACTGTAAAACACATTTGTTAGATACGCGTTGCTGGTCGTTACATCATAAAATAACATGCTGACAACGTCACACTTTTCGCTCCGGAATTCGCACTTTAACGAATGACCATATATATCCTAAGCAAACGGTTTTAGAGTTTCAAATTTCGATTAGTCCATTCGATTTTCATAGGCACCAGGCACTATCGATGGTTTTAGACCTTTAAAAAATTATACAGATGTAACCCGGTCAAATGGTGTCATTATTCTCATGTGATTATTTCCAACCGAGTCATAACCTCGGAGGCTAGTCCCGAGATGAGTGAGGTCTGTGGCTTACAACAAGCTCGCAAAGATGTGTTGTGCTCTATCGTGTGAATGGAAAATAAAAAACGGCCTGATGGGTTGCCCGGTGGCCAAGTGGGTAGCATGCTTGCATTCTACCCGTGAGGTCCCGGGTCCGATGCCTCGTTGGGTCGATGGATTCGCACTGCTGATGAGACCCACCCAAGTCGAAACAGCTGTCCAGTGCTTGCTGGCTTTTCAGTTCACGCTTCATTTGCCATATACACGAAGAATTTCCGCTTTGAGTTTTCATCCACGTATGCCATCACGGCGGGACTGCACCTTGACGTGGTGTGACGGCTTGTGCACCTGTGTGATCCAACGACCAACACAGGATGGCTTTTACCGAGCCAAAGATCTAACCATGCCTGGAAGGTCAATGGGTAGAGGTCAGACGAAGTCCAGTCTCCTGGTCCTCCAGGTTGGGGGTTCGACCTGAATCGGCGTCTCAGTCGATAAAACGTGTTGGAGGAATAATTGATCCAAGCAAATGGGCCTCCAATCCGCCTTAACCGCTGCCTTGAGGTTAGGTTCT